ATTAATATTCTGAAAACAGAAGATTATGAAATGACCAGTTTCTTTGATCACAGTATGAATATCAGTATGAGCAAACATTGAACTTTGAGGAAAAGAGTTCACGGGCTTACAGAGAATTTGTAGTTCTGAACAGCAGTACTCTGGAAAGCCAGATGTGCAGGAACAAGTCAATGTACATATTTGATTAGATGTGGGGGAGGGTGTGGAGGATGGAAGACATTCCAGACATTAGAAGACAATCTGCTCAAGAACTGCTTTTGCCCAAACTGTTCTTCCCTTTTCCAAAGCTCACATTATTCTCTTTCTTAAAATGCCTGCCCCGAGTACTTTCATTTTCCCCATTTTCACTACCACTGTATCTCTAACCTTTTACTCCTTGCCTTGCCAAGTTTTAAGAATGCGTTGCTGCCACCCAACTATACATTATTCTCTCTCAACATCTTTGCTCAAATCACTAAGTTCGGCATTCCAACCTCCCACAACAGTGAGACAGCCCCGACCAAAGTCACCAACAACTACACGCCATTGCTAATTGATTCAATGTCTTCTTTGTACTCAATGGCTTCTACACTGATCCCTCCGTGCGTGTTCATCTGCGGCACAATCAAGGTCTCTATCTTCTGTCCCTCCTATTCCTCATTTACATGCTACCAACAAAGCTATCAGCCATTTACACATCAATTAAGCCGATCAATATCTCTCCACCAGTAGTTTTGAATCCAAGATTTTTGCTGTTCTGTCTGACTGCCAGTTCAGCATGAAATCTTGGAATTGCTGTAACTTTCTACACTTTAATCAGCTCCTGTCAGCTGGTTTCAATGCTATGGTTTCTCTCTGAGGCTGAGCCCGATGGTTTGGAAAGTCAGATATTTGGAATCTAAATTGCGCACTAACCACTGAGCTACAGGATTCCACAATACATGTATCAAGGCCACCTGAGCAACATAGGATGGTGTCTAAAGAATGGCAGTTTCTTTTTTAATAATGTCTACAAATCGCAAATCGCGATTCCTGGTAATCAGAAGTACTTCACCTAAATCCATGGAAACTGCTTCAAAAGCATACTGGACGAGAGACGAATTCCTACATGATAGTGTGGGTGTGGACAAAACCTGGGCAGAACCCACTATAACACGAATAGCACTCTCGTGCTCTATTCATTTTAAATACAAGTTTTAGACAGATCAGGTATTATGACAGCATATTATACATTGGAGTTGAGCAACACAATACAAAAGTGAATGGCACTGGAATGCGGCAGAGGAGATTTCCTTGTGACCATCTGCAGAATAAATGCAGTGGCTGCCAAATGATGTGACTCTGGTCAGAAACAATGCTTACAGGGTGCTTTGTAATAATTGGGCCAAGGTCTTTTAAGGGATCATTTTGGAATGTTTTTAAAGTGCCGGTTGCATGTCAGGCTCTTTAATAACTTTCGAAATCTAGCAGCTGAAATCAGAACTCTCCTCAGCTGCACCCACTGGTATTAGGAGCAGGAAAATAAATCAATCTTCCCCGCTCCGCATGACGATACAGCTAAAAGTGAATTCACTCCAGTTCCAGTTGTATAAGCCGGGCTTAAAAGCCGTCCTGCTGATTGCTTGAAGTGTTCACTTTCATATGTCTTAATTTCTGGACATTTGCACTTCTTCTGAGGTCAATCGTTTAAGTGTAATTAGAATGTATTTTCTCATGCGCTCCCCTCCCAGCTCACATAGCAGGTGACTTCTTATGTAGCAACACCCAGAGGCATGAATAGTACGATAAGAGCAAACGTATAATTCATGTTTCCTGAAATCAATGCCGTGACTTAAAATCATTGCGATTTTTTAAATGTAGCACATTCACTACAGCAGTTCAAAAGAGCACAAGAGGTCAAGGAGTTGGGCAAGTGAACACAAAGGAGTAGTCATCAAAGGAGAGCATACATCAACCTGAATCCCTGCCTACCCCCACCGCCCACCCTACCAATATCCTAACCATATAATGCAAGCAATATAATACTGTAGGCTCTAGTAGGTAGAAAAATTAACCATAAGGGGAATATACAATTGACGCAGGGAAAAGTTTTAGATAAAACTTAAACTCAAAGTTCAATAAACACATAAATAATAAAATGATCAACCACAAATCAAACAGAAAGTCCCAGGAGTGTCTAGAAATAAATGACTGAATCGGAAACCTATGCAGCAGTTATGATGTGATCTTTGCTTGACTGCACTATTTTGGTCCCAATGCTTTCCCAGCAGTCTTGGCGCATTGATTTTAGCCAAAAGCCATTACTTGAATTGACTACCAATTATTGGAAAGAAGCCACCAGCGATACTAATTTAATCTGCAAGCAATACAATTGCAGAAAAGTGCTTGACTTAGGGGAGCATGCTGACCTATCGATGACAGGTGAGAGACAGAAACTGGGCAGCAGCATAATCTCTTTATCAGTCATGTGATATTACCTGGGCTCTGACATTTCCTGGAGAGGATTCAGCATGTTTCGTGTACATTCCCCTTGTTTGCAGGTGTATCCATGGAATGGAAAGACGGACGGTTAAACTGCTCTGAGACACTACCCCGTGTGAAGGATACTATATAAATATGCCTAAAGGAAAATTAAGTGACAATTTACATTCACATGCTGCCTGCCTTTCACATTTGGGAAGATGTTTCAAAGTGCTTCATTGTGCTTGCTGGGTACCCGAGCTGAGGGTGGGATTCATGGGGTTTATGGAGGGGAAAGATGATTACAAGCAAGGTCGAAGATGTCATGTCTTAAACAAGGGGAGGGAGGGACAAGGCCAAAAGAAGGTGACAGCTGAATAAGCGTCATTCCATCATACAGAGTCTGAAATAATAGTCTAAATAATAAATATTATGATGGTATGATGGAATGACGCTGTAATTACATTCTAATTACACTTAATCCTTTTATAGATTCCTGGACTAAATTCCACTGATCCAAAAATTTCTACCTCTCCCTTAAACAGGAACACACTAAACTAAAATAAAAAAAATCCCTATGGATCTATGTAGCTGTTAGTATAAGAATAGATTCTGTTGACATGGGCTAAAATACTGAAAATATATGATCCTCACACTTGACCTGAAGTCATTGACGTGGAGTCCTGTAGCTCAGTGGTTAGAGCACTCGCTTTGCAAGTGAGAGACCCGAGTTCAATTCCAGGCAGGGCGAAACCTTGGGCAAGTTTCCTTACTCCACACGCCTAATAATAATCCCTCCAAAAAAACAAAACAATAATAAAATTGGTCATTTTCAATCCATAACTTTGTGAGACATTGCTGTGCCCAATTGGCTGCCGCGTTCGCCCACAAATATACAGTCAATTCACCTTATAGTACATTCTGTGAAGCGCTTTTGGACGTCTAGAAGACGTGAAAAGCGCTATATCAAATGCAAGGATTATTATTATTATTGTTGTATATTGCATATCAATTATTTGATTGGAAAGCTCCGTTTGCTGTTATGCGATACTTCAATAATAGAACTCCCGATCAGAAAGCCAGAGATTCAGTGGCAATGCTCTGTTATTGTGCGCACAACAAGCCAAAGTGGAAACATGTACAACTATCGATCAATAATGCCTTTCAGTAGCGAGTTCCTAAAAGTACCAGATTTTTCAAGCATTGCAGTAAGTGTGACAAATGTGAGGGATTTCAAGCTGGCTGTACTGAAACAGATTAATAAGAAGCTCTGATCTGTAGCCAATTTACCGTTGTGCATGCAATAGTGTCATAGATTGCAGTGGGTTCACACCTATGTAGGGAGAGGCAACCTGCAGTCAGCTGTGACCCTCACTCTTTCCAGCAGGCAGCACGAAGCATAGTCCAAGTAAGTTGATTTAACCCAGGTAGTTGTCAGAAATTGATAAATCATTCTGATCTGCACACAATGCAAATCAATCCCTAGGGGTAGAAAGTTTCCTCAGTGATGGTATAAAGTTACAGTTTCTACACTGGGTGTCTGGTGTCTGTGAATGTATTCTAGATCCATCCACAAAATAAATACAAACAAGCAGGAGCACTGTGGTACTGGACACCGGGACACAGATCAAGTGATAACATGAGTGCTAGCAGAGAGTTTGATTCCCCATTTTTCTAAATCCACAATGTCAACTATTAAGAAAGACCTGACATCGAGGATAAGTGGTCACAAGAGTACATTTGCCTGCTTTCTAGGAGCTGTCCCAAGAACAGCGTTGGAGAAGGACTGAAACTGGTCAGCTAACCACACACCCCACCTTAATAGCAGCAATTGAGCCTTGGGATACCCACTTGGCCATTTTTGTATTGTCTTGCAAGTTGCTAGTGAAAAGATTTTTTTTGCCTTTTTATTTACAGTGATCATACCAGGATTCATGCATGCCTATCTCTCCCTTCCCCCCCATCACTGTGTGCGCTGCCTTTACCAATATGGCCGCCCCGCTCGCACCACCATTGCAGGTCACAGTTTTACCAAAATAACCACTGTCTCCCTCCTGCCCCCACCATGCATTGTGCATGCTGCCTTTACCGAGATGGCTGCCCTCTACCGTTGCCACCATTGCAGGTTTTCCAGTAGAGGACCCACTTGGGGTACCAGGAGGGGCTCACTTGGGGTGCCAATGGATGTTCTTTCGGGGTCTTGGAGGTGACAATCATGTCGTCTGGGGAGAAAAGTTTAGGGTTCTACAATTTTTAAAAAAATTATGAGCATCAGTGTATTTATTCGAGAATGTGATGAATAAATGAGGTAGAAGGGAATAGAGGAGTTTGGGAGAGGGGATGAAGAGCGGCAGGACTTCATGTGGAATATAAACGCCGGCACAAACTAGTTGATCAAATGGTCTGTTTCATTGCTGTATGACTCGAGGTAACTCTGTGTAGCAAAGTGTTTTTATTTGGCCTGAACATTGTGGGGGGAAAAAAAAACTTTTATTGTAGCATTGCAATCAGTTTTGGCAGCAAAACACCAACATTTTGTTTATTTGTTACAGAACTCTTACCTGGTCCCACGGAGAAATGATTCCACCGAAACACATGAAGAGGTAACCCATGGCAACCAGGCACGCCCACACTACCAGGGAAAACACGTGTAGTAGTTTTCTGAACAGTGACTCCACACAGACCAGAATAAATATTGCAAAGAATATAGCCAGAGCTGTTGGAACAGTTATTAGGAAGGCCACATGGTCTTCAATATCCTGGGGACAGATAGAAATGAAAAGCTTTATAAGTGCATCACCACAATATCTCCAGAAAGATTTATTTGTATAACACTCCTCTCATCAATTTTATGTCAAAAGCATCTGATAACACAGAATTAGTGTCTGCTTTTAGGAGCTTGGAGGGCGCAGAGCACCATTTATTATATCAGATGCTAGATTAAACTGACTGAAGCTGATTGCGCCCACGACTTCATTGGTTCCCTCTATTTATAGCAATGAATTTCAAATATGTGCATAATGACATAAAATAACCTCATTACATTTATTGCCCTGTTGTAAAATGAACACTACTGGTTATTCCATTCACAAGGAACTTAAACATTGATGACGCTTCAATTCCAAATATCTCCCTGTCTATCTATGATTATCTTTAAGCTCTGTAGGGAATGCTGCTTATTTCTGAAATCACCTTTTGAGGATTGAACTCTCTGTGCACCCAGTTACCAGTCTATCCCTTACTGTAACCAATCTATCCCTTACCCTATGCTGTGCAATTTGCAGTTTCTTTAATGACATTTCTTCAAAAGGAATCCAAGTTTGTTTGAAAGGGCATTTCTTCTGGTAACTGGAAATAAATCATGCCAACTCACAGCAAACTAGTGTCAGGGATTCTTTTCACTCAGATCCTGTTAACCCTGCAAGCTAAAGCTCTAATAGATATTTTTTATCACCCCCCCAGATCATGCCCCAGATAAAACTGATCATCCACTTCATTGCTGTGTGCAAATTGGCTATTGCATACACCTTCAAAAAAACAGTCCCTAATATCCTATGAAGTGATTTGAGGCATCTGGACAATATGATAAAGTTCTGTATCAAATGCAAGGATTATTATTATTATAAAACAGACTTCTGGGTGTCACAGTAAAGACACATTGGAATGCTCTTCTGTTCAGTGCACTTCTGGTTCACTGTTGCTTAGAGGGATACATGCTACTCTGAGCTTTTTGTTTAATAAAAAGCCAAGTTTGCTGCTGTTTACTGCTCGTTCCATTTGAGGCGCTGCTCCTCAACCAATACCAAAAGGTACTTTCCAAATTGGATTGATCTGATGGCTTTAATACAGCCAATTTCAAAAGAATTTTTAAACATTGAAACAAAGAGAAAGGAAGATTGTCGACCAAGATACCAGGAGAACCTCCCTTCTCTATTTGACAGCATCTACTTGAATAACAATTGAGTAGATAGAATTTCAGTCTAATATTACATCTGACTGACAGCATCACTGGTAATGCAGCCTAAACTGTGTTCTCAAGTTCTGATGGTGGCTTTCAACCACAACCTTCGGACCTACAGGAAAAAGTACCACCAATTGAACTAAGCTGATGCATGCTATTATAAGAATAATAATCCTTGCATTTGATACAGCATCTTTTATATGGCAAGGATGTTTCAAATCACTTCATAGCATTTAATGTAAAATGTTGTGACTTTATATGAAAAGTAACTAAGTATGAGTTTGTTCACAGTAACAGACCCTCCTCAACTCCTGACAGAGCTCTGGAATTTCCCTGTGTAAGTGGGATATATGGAACTCTTAGTTTGGTTTGGATACGTTTCACATGTATCAGATGCCTGGCTGACCAAAAACAAGTCAACTCCTGACTGCTGCAATTTGGAATTGCAAAGTATAAACAACAACAATAATAACTTGCATTTCTATAGCGCTCTTCACGCGGGTTAGCGTCCCGGAGCGTTTGAAACCCTTTCCCCCCACTACTAACTCCACTGCTGGACATGGTGGTGAGACGGGAGCGGAGTCAGGAGAGCGCGGGCGGAGCCGAGGTCTAGTTGCATGTATAAAGCACAGCCAGGTGAGGAGCCACTCAGTCGGGAGCGGAGTCAGGAGCTGAGGTAAGTGAGGGAGTCGGGCGGGCACCATTCACTAAGTGACGTCAGCGTGAAAAAAACCCAGCAACAACAACAACAATGGCCTGGCCACTGCCACCGCCATCCCGGTCATGGCCTGGGAGGCTGAGCCTGAGGGCTGATGCCGCCCGCTGATTGCTCGCTCCCGGTCCGTGTGTGCATTTTGGCTGCTGCCCCGACCCGAGCCTCCCCCTCCACTCTAAATGCCTCTCCTCCCACCCCTCTCTATCCGATACTCCCCCTCTGTCCTTCTCTCCCACCGCCGTCCCCGCCTTCTCTCTCTCCTCGACCCCATCACCACTTCCCTCTGCTCCAGCCTGGGCATCCTCCGCCGGGCCCATCGTGGCTCCCGGCACTGGCTGTCCCAGAGCAGCAACCCCACATGTCCAATCGTTCACTCCCTCCGCTCAAACCACTTCTTTAAAGCAAATCCAACTTCCCCCTCCCTCACACGTACCCTCCCCAACTCTCCACTCACACCACTCTCCACAACCATCACTCCTGTACACCCCAAAATCCTCTCTGCATCACTCTCTCCTCCCTCTCCTCCCTCCTGCAAACCCATCCACATTTCCCTCGAAAATGTCTGTTCCCTCTCAAACAAAGCCCTCACCATCCACGACCTCATCCTGGACGAGCACCTTGACATTCTTGGGCTCACCGAAACCTGGCTCTCCCCCAATGACCCCGTCCCTCTAGTGGAAGCCTCCCCTCCAGGCTACACCTTCCACCACACCCCCCGTCCAAACCAATGTGGCAGCGGGGTGACCTTCATCTCCAAAGCCTCCCTTGGTCTTACCCTCTACTCCTCTGGCTGCTTCCCCTCCTTCGAGCACCTCACCCTCTTCCACCGCTCTCTCCCATTGAAAATCCTCCTTGTCTACCGCCCCCCTAAACCCTCCGGCTCCCTCCACACAGACATCTCTACTCTCTTCTCTTCCCTGTCCCTCTGCTCCAAGCACCTGCTCATAATGGGCAATTTCAACATCAACCTAAACTCCCCCTGCACTACTTCTGCCAACTTCACTGCCCTCCTCGCCTCCCTAAACCTCACACTTCATATAGATTCACCACCCACAGCCATGGTCATGCCCTTGACCTCGTAATCACCCACGGCCTTGACATTTCTGACCTCAGCATAGTGAACAAGGTCTTCTACTCCAACATCATTTTGGAGGCTAAACACAACCCTAAAATCCTTTTTTCCACCACCCACTACCTCCTCTATGCCCCTCCTCAGGCCTCCTCAATCTTCATATCAAATCCCAAGTGCAAGGAGGTCATGGACTTCTTTTCATCTAAAATACACAACATCCCCCAGGCAGCCTCATCCACCTGCCTCTTGTCTCCCACCACCACCCCCTCTCTGTCATCCTCACCCTCCCCATCATCCATCCTACATTCCTTCCTCCCCATCTCTCCCTCCTCCCTCTCACCCACCATCACCTCCATGAAACCCACCACCTGCTGCCTCGACCCCCTCCAACTTGCTGGTCACCCAGCTCCCTTTCACTGCTGGCTGATGTCATCAACCTCTCTATCTGTGACCAGGGCTCCCTCTGCCTCCTTCTCCTCCTGGACCTCTCCGCCGCGTTCGACACAGTCGATCATGCCATCCTCCTCCACCACCTCTCCTCCGTCATCCACCTCAGTGGGACCGCACTCACCTGGTTCAAGTCCTACCTCACAAACCGCCAGCAGTACATCTACACAAACGGCTTCTCCTCCCAATCTCACCCAGTTACCTGCGGGGTATCCCAAGGATCCATCCTTGGTCCCCTCCTCTTTCTGATCTATATGCTCCCTCTTGGGGGTGTCATCCGCAGACATGGGGTACATTTCTACATGTACGCGGACGACACCCAACTCTATTTTTCCACCTCTCTTTGCGACCCCCAGTCCCCTGATGTTCTGTCAGCCTACCTGTCAGATCTCAGGGGTTGGATGATCGCAAATTTCCTTCGTTGACAAGACGGAAGTCATACTCTTTGGCTCTCGTCAACGTCTAAAATCTCACGGCTCTCACCTCCTCCACCTACCCGACCGCCCCCTAAAACTCTCCGAACCCGTACGCAACCTAGGCGTTAGGTTCGACCTCCCATATCCTTCCTGCCCAACATCCGGTCCCTCACCAGCACCGCCTTCTTCCATCTCCAACGCATCACCCGTCTCTGCCAATACCTCTCTCCTAAAGCCGCTGAAACTCTAGTCCATGCCTTTGTCACCTCTTGGCTGAACTATTCTAACGCCCTCCTCGCCAGTCTCCCATCCACTACCATCCATAAAATCTAAATCATACAAAACTCTGTCGCCTGCATGCTCACCCGCACCAAACTCCACTCTCCGATCACCCAGTCCTTGCCAGACTGCACTGGCTGCCTATCCCAGAGAGGATCAATTTCAGGATCCTCACCTTTGTATTCAAATCCCTCCACTCCTCTGCACCCCCCTACCTCTCTGACCTCCTCTCTCCTCAAAACAGTACCCGTTGCCTTTGTTCCTCCAGGTCTGGCCTCCTCCTTGTCCCGAGTCCTCTGCTCCACCCTCAGCAGCCGTGCCTTCAGCCACTATGCCCCAAGGCTCTGGAATTCCCTTCCTCACTCCCTTCGCCTCGTCCCCTCTCTTCCTATTTTCAGGTCCCTGCTGAAGACCTTTCTTTTCGACCGCGCCCTTGGTCACCTTCTTCCCCCTTCCCCTGGCTCGGTCCAGGGATCCTTTACTGTGAAGCACTCTGAGACGCCGTCCGTCGTGGAGGGAGCTATATGAATCCAAGTTGTTGTTGTTGTTGAATTGAAATGAAGGAAGGCATAAGGATGCCACTCCACCATTGGAGAGATGATAAGAACAAAATAATAGGTGAAAAATGTGACATTTCATAAATGATTCAGTGTGACACATTAAATCTGTAATCAAGTGTTCCATTTTTTGACCTGAAATTAAAAATGTGACACAATACGTCAAGTTATGCAAGGACTTTTCGATTCACAATTAGAGTTGCATCAGAATTGCTGCAGTGGTGCTGAGGAAATCAACCAAATGGTTATGTTAGGATGTAACTACGATGGTGGCTTTCAACCACTACCTTTTTCCATTGAAATTTAGTGGATGGAAAAATAAGTTTCAATGGAAAAATAAGATGCCCCACAGGACGTGTAAACAGAATAAACTATTATCGTTTCTCACTATATTTGTTATATTCTCGCTTTATCATGACAACTGTTCTCTTTTAATTCACATCTAAGTTCACCTGCTCTGGTGTTGTCTGACAGCTGAACAACACTATGCTCAAATCTTGGTTAGCCGGAGTAATGAGTGGGGGGGTGGGGGCAGAGGGAGTGGGGGGAGATCCGGTCCTGCAAGCTAGAATTTCCAACTCAGTCTAATTATAATGCCAATACCGGCTTTTATTTGCTTTTTGAAAAATGCCAGTAAATCACGATAACATTGTCACTGTGGCCACTGTGAAGACCAGGAAAGATGGTAAATTCTGCTCATTGGCATTGACGCACAATAATAACAACTTGGACTTGTATAGCGCCCTCCAGGTAGGGTAGCATCTCAGAGGCTTAACAGTGGCAAAGCCTGACTCCGAGCCGGGGGTTTCAGTTTAAAAAATTGGGGTTTCGGATCCGGTCCGGTTAAATTCGAATTCCAGATACTTAGAGTCCAGTAAGCCAGGGGTTTACTGTATCAGCATGCCTTTGCTTTTAAGCGCTTTGAGACGTCATTGTGATGTAAAAGGCACTATATAAGTATAAATTGTATTGTACTTTCCATTTCTAAAAGGTTTCGCCCCACAGTAAATGGGGGAAGAGTGAATTGCAAAACCATCTTCCAACTTTACTTCTTGGATAGCTGATGGGACTGTAGATTGTAAAAGTGTTAAGCATTACTGAAAGGTTTTGATAATATAATGGATTTCTTTGCTCAGCCAGGTGTATGACACATGCCAACACCCATCACATGCTTAAGTACATCCAAACTAGACTGAGATCTATTACAGTTGTTGTTTTTCACTGATGACACAAATTAATTTGTTGTTGATGATGAAAGCTGCTCTGTGTTCAGTAGCAAAATAAAAATGTGTCTCCAAAGTGCAGAACACAGAGTCTATTTTTGTACCCATTTACACTGCTAGTACTAATTATAGACATATGTTTTGCGGTGTTAAAATGATGTCTGTGGCAGCAGCTAGTGTGTTTGTTTACTATTTAAATATGTAACTGATACATTTCTTTACCAGCAGTGCAGCACCACAGTCACTTCTGGGCTATTGCACCTGGAGGAATTGGCTGCACAGAATAGAGATACATCTGGGGCATTTATTCAGCTAAGTTTGCCAACTTTCACTCAACATCTCTGTGAGATGAACAAGTCGTGCATATGTTTTTGAGGATTCCTGACGCAATACACGTTTTTTCACTCCCTTTCTCATTCTATGCCTTCAGAAAATAGCAAAAGACTCTAGCACATCAGCCAAACTCCTCCATCTGTGGCCTAAAATGTCCAGTCAGGATATAGATCTTTAAGCACCATGCTTTGAACACCATAATATACATACCACTTGTCATGGAAAATGTTCTCATATTTAACATGCCTGTTCTTTCCCATACAGTGTAGTGTTAAAGAACAATTTCCATACATAACTGGAACTTTCATTAGTTTCGCTTGGATACTCTTAAGCATGGTGGAGGGTGGGGTTCTACGTGTGTCAGACACCTAGCTGACCAGAAAAAAATCCGCAATTCAAGGAGCAGCAGAAAATATTTGTTCATAGAATCATAGAATCCTACAGCACAGAAGGAGGCCATTTGGCTCATCTTGCCTGTGCCTGCTCTTTAAAAGAACTATCCAATTAATACCACTCTTTCGCTCTTTCCCCATAACCTTGCAATTTTCTTCTATTCAAGGATTCATTCAATTCTCTTTTGAATTCTATTATCGAATCTGCTTCCACCACCCTTTCAGACAATGCATTTCAGATTGTAATAACTTGCTGCGTAAAAGAAATTCTCCTCATCACCCCTCTAGTGTTTGTGCCAATTATCTTAAATCTGTGTCCTCCACCAGTGGCAACAGTTTCTCCTTATTTATTCTATCAACCATTCTGATGCGTGCTCCATCAGCAATATCTCAAAGATCAGCTCCTCTGCTCAATATTCAACCATTGTACAAATGCTCTGGATTTTACATCTTTACATTTATTGTATTTTCCATCGTTGATTGACTTCAGTGTGAGACTGACACTGAAACACAAACACCAACACTGAAAAAACAAACACCAACACTGAAACACAAACACCGACACTGAAACACAAACACTGACACACAAACACTAATACTGACTCTACAACACAAGCACTGAAACACAAACACAGGCACTGAAACACAAACACTGACATTGCAACATAAACACTGACACTGCCAACAAAAACACCAACACTGAAACACAAGCACAACCACTAACACTGAAACACTGACACTGTTTTATTGTGTTTTTTTGGTCAGCGGGGTGTGTGACACATATGGAAACACATCACTAGGCTTAAGAGTATCCAAAACAAACTGAGATTTCCATCTATTCCACCTACATGTGGAAATTCCAGAGATATTTAGAACTCGCCATTGGATGTCCAGCAACAGCCACCCTGACTGCCCCATCCCCATGTCCGCCGCAAGGCCCACCGGATCCAAACCTCGGGGGGAAACCTCTCCTCTCTCATCCACAGTCCCACCCTCCTTGTCAATCCTCACCCTACTCTTTCTCATCTTACACATTCCTCTGCCACTTATCCTTTCCATATCAGGTGCCTTGGAACATCCTCCCAACGTAAAAGGCGCTTTACAAATGTAATTTGTTGTTGTTGTTAAAACTGTATGCTTCCATTGATATCGCTATCTGGCAGACTTTCCCACTGCTTGTCCAGCTAATACCACCCTACCCGTTAGGGCTTTGGCTTGCAGGGTTAACAGGAGCTGAGTGGGAGGATTCCTTGCCCCCGTGACTGCTCTGCCTTTCCAAGTCTTTCTGATGAGCCAGACTGGCTGTGCTGCCGTCAGCAGTGCCCTGGAATACTGTGTACCCACTTGGCTCAGGAATTGGACTACCAAGACCGCCACAGAGGTCTGGCTAGATTCACCATTCTGTTGCCAAACATGTCACCTGGGAGACAGTTCAGTTCCAAGGAGACCCTGTTTACCTCCCTTCACCATCCCTCGCCCTGGCAGGAACATAACCCTGACACTGCAATACACTAAAAATCTATAAATGGCATCAAAATCCTGTAAGGCATTTTACTCCTGGTGTTTTATCACTTTCACTTTTGAATTATAGTATACTACAAATCTCACTGCCAGTTTTATATAAATTATAATGCATTAAGCAACAAAAATGCATGTAGGTGATGTGATACATATATTTTTAAATACGGAAAGGAGATCATGTAGATTTTAATAATGTATATTAAAATTATATCAATTGTTGGCTCTAATTTGTGCTGTTTCTAACAAGTGATGGGCAAAAATCAAATGCCTAAACCACAGAAGGTATTGAGGAGAGTATTATTGAATTTCCAAAACATTATTGAATACATTCTTCGGCACCATGGAAGATTTAGACAATCGATAATGAAAACATTTCTTAATAAGAAATCTATTAAGAAGCACCGCGAGTTAGACCCCGTTGTATTTAGTTCCTAAAAAATGAAATTTTAACGACTTTGTAAATAACTCTGATACTGAGGAGACAGAAATGATCTTACCAGCCCTGAAGCCAAGAAGACAGCCAGCAGTGCCAAGCAGGTTCCTATCACAATCAGCAGCAGAAATATGATCAATGGGTGCTGTTGGCTCATGCAGTAATAGGACTCATACAGCCAGTCGGGTGACTTCTGTTTGACAGGGGCTTCATCAGTTCTATTAAGCAAATAGCGTCTTCTCCTCATTGCGTCTCGCCACATAGGAATCAGCAGCCGTGGCTCTCACCTCTTAGTTAACTGGTAGGCATTCAGTGAAATGCAGCTGAAGAAGCCCGCTTAAACTGCATGGCAGAAGCAACATGTTGAGCTGTGATGAACTCGATGCAGGCTGCAGCTGGAGCAGTGTGCAGAACAGAGGGGGCACTCATTTCAACTGAAATGCATCATTCCAAACAGCTACTTCTCCCGTTCATATTAAGCAGCAGACTGCATCAATAGCAAGTGGTTTTCAGTCGATGGAAGCTTCCTATCTTGTGCAAAGTCCTTCTTTTTCCAGCTGAATACCTCTTATGCCTGAAAAGGAGGGGGGAGGACTTATAATTAGTTAACTCATTACTGCATTGCACAGAACAGCATGTAGGAAATACTGTACATTATGTGACCAGCCTAATGGACCCAAGAAGCTTTTTCCCTGAGCTGACAACAAATTACAGTATAATCCACCAAACTGAATTATAGCTTACTGTTTTTTCCCCATCACTTTGTTTATCAATTAAATGTGAAACCTCTTAATGTACAAAGTACAAACACACAAACAAAATTGAATGCAGTATGCTGACTGCTTGTGTATAATTTATGAATTTATGCACTGGGGACATATTATTTGTGTGATAGGCTGTGGATAATTCAAGATTGAACTGTTCCATCAGCAGTCTCAAACATCAGCTCCTCTGCTGTGATGGAAGCACAGCTTAACAACAAGAAGAAATTACATTTGTACAGCACCTTTCACATCGGGAGCACGTATCACCTTAACAGCACATGTTCACTGGAGATGTTATCAGTTATGCCCAAGCTGCGAAGCATTAGTGGGTAGAAATTCCTCCTGGGTCTAGTTTTAATCACTTTTTCAGCATTTTAGAGTGTGCAGAATTTGGCAAATTCTTAAATAGTCCTAATTTTGAAGCCCATTTTCTGTAAATTTCTTTTAAGAAAAACAGCATTGGACCCATGACTGAATTCACAATTTGCTGAATTCTGGACTCTCTAAAGTGTTAACAAAATTGGATGGAGGTGATTTCAAGCCAGTAATTTAATTGACCTGTTTAGATGGCAATTGTAACAGTCAGGTGAATCCCACAGTGGGATTACAACCCTTGAGATGTCTCTACTGAATTTCCTGGAGGGATTTGATTCCATTCCATTCCTTGTGGCCACTCTGTGATTTTAATTGTGGCTAAAGCACTACCAGTTAGTCACTGTCCTTAACAATAATTACTTTTGTGAAATTCTTGAGAGGTTTCAATGTGATAAGACACTATGTAATCAAAAGTTTGTAAAAGTGATATTCAGCTTCTAATTAGCGGGAATTCACACTGGCAGTAATATGCTCATATTTTTCAGAGTATCATTTATCAGAGTTTACCTTGTTGTTGAACTTTTAAAGAATAGAAGTTCATTTTAATTGATTTATTTTTGAAAGAAAAACACCAAAAAAATGGGAAATTGGACAAGAAAACTTGTTGAATAAAATAAAAATCATTGCATTTGATGTATTAATAATAATAATAATCCTAGCATTTGATATAGTGTTTTTCACGTCTTCTTGGTGTTTCAAAGCGCTTCACAGAATATGCTGTAAAGTGAATTGACTGTATATTTGTGGGCGAAATGCAGCAGCCAATTGTGTACAGCAGTGTCCCACAAACAGTCGTGGATTGAAACTGACCAATTTATTATTGTTTTGTTTTGGAGGGATTATTATAATTGTGTGTTAATGCCTTAATACAGCTTTGATAAATGCTTGACAGAATTTAATCTAAAGTGCAGTGACTGTGCATTTGTTCTTAAGTAATGTATTATCATTTCAGATGATCCATGCAGTTCCTGCTTCCTGAACTCCCAGAATGAATTACCTGCTGATTGCCTCACGTAGACAGCAATAATAATAATACTTGCACTGATATAGCATCTTATCACGTCTTCAAGACGTCTCAAAGGCGCTTCACAGAATATACTGTAAAGTGCAGTGACTGTGTATTTTGTGGGTGAAACGTGGCAGAAATTGTGCAGAACTTTGGTGACTTTCAACTGTCCTTTAAACCCCATATCTGAGCCTTGACCGATTCAGCTTTCCCCTACCTCCACAACATTGCCTGCCTCTGCCACTACCTCTCCCCTTGGGGCCAACAAGACTATTATTCATGTTTTCATCACATCCAAGCTTGTCTTCGCCAACTCGCTGCTTGCTGGACTTTTGGTCTTGAGGAAGTTCAGCATCTCTTCGGAGTTGGAGGAGAGGATGGGTGAGGCATGAGAGGGTGGGCAGAGGAGCCAGTTTGTAGTGGAGAAGAGGAGCCTGGGGTTGTCCTTAGCCTCCAAGATTGTCCTGGAGTAGAAGGACGATTTAGCGGAGGGTTAGGTTTTGATGTGGTCCAGCCAGATCTGCTGATTGACTGTCAGGTTGGATTTGAGACAGGTGGATTTGGCAGCATTAAACACATACATAATTCAGCAAATTCCAGTTACAAGTGAAACTGTAAAATATACCTCATTGAACTATTCAATTTTGCCAATATTTTAAGTGATGAGAATTGAACTAATTACAATGATATAAAAAGTTGGTTTGCTGAAATAAACTTGAAGGCATCAATAATACCAGCCCTTTTAGTGCAATATAATCTAGAGTTATCAATTTCATTGATCGGGTTGACTTGTTAAACCTGAATGCTGATGGTTACTTCATCTGGGAAATTGTTAACTTGGACTGCAGGAGAAATTCCCTTCTGCTTTTGACGAATACCATGAGATCTAAACTATAAGCACTTAACTTCGCGTTTGAACAACAGAACCTTTGACAATGCCGTGCATTGTTATATGCAACTTAGTAGCGTTCAGTCATTTTTTAACTTGGATCAATCAAGCAGTGGTTCGGGAGAATCCTCAAGGGTATAGTTACACAAACATCCACATTCATTCTAAATAATAATAATTCAGCCCATTTGATTCAGTGCCTTTGCACGTTGTTGAAAAGTCTCAATCTAATTATAAGACTAACTGTAAAGTGTAGTCATTGCATATTTGTAGGTGAATCTGGCAGCTAATTTGCACATAATAATGTCCCACAAACATCCATGAAGTGAATTTTATCTGGGAAACTTTTGACCTGGTCTGCAGGAGAAACTCCCTTCTGCTTTTGACGAATACCATGAGATCTAAACTATAAGTACTTAACTTTGCATTCGAATGACAGAACCTTTGACAATGCAGTGCTCTCTCAAAACTGCATTGGCGTATCACCCTAGACTACAGGAGCTCAGGATCCTGATGTAAGACGTCAACCCACAACCTTCTGACTCACAGTGACAGAAACAAATTGACACATAGGGTGAGAGTGTTACGAACTGAGCTCAACTGATATCCGATGTGCTCTTTGACAGAGTTGCTCTCGATCCTCCTGTGATTGTATTTGAAATATTTAAATAGATCTTTGTGTTTGTTGTTGACATTTACTCTACTGAATCTGAACTATGCCTTCAAGAAATATGTGCAAAAGTACTCTGCAAATATTGATTTGTTTCCTTGAATACAAAGCATGAGCACTGATATGCAAAGGTGGTTAAAATAAGAGACCCAGGGGGTGTTCCATCCCAATTGAGTAAGGCAGTGTCAAGACACAAGAAAATCTCATTTACTACAGACTTCAGATAAAGCACTCAGTGACTGACAATCTCACTGACAGAATGAGAACACAGACTGGAACAAGGCACTGATTTATTCCACTCGAAACAAAGCAAATGAATCTGTAAATATCAGTAAATGAAGTAGAAATATAAATTTATAAGGAGTGACAAGCTGTGCTGTGGTATCGGACGATTTGGGTTGCATCAACAGTTTTGCATTGAGAATACCTAAAATCACCACCATGAATAATGTTGATGCATATAGGGAACAATTTGCAGCAGCCCTAAGCTGGACAACATGAGAATACTTAGACTGAACTGTGCAGGTCATAGTATTTTGCATCCTCTACCACTGGGTTTTATACACGTACGATTATGATTTCTAGTATGAAAACCCACCAGCTGCTCCCTCAATCCCATCCTTACCTCTCTTCTTACCTCCCATCTCCAACTCCTTGCCCCCCTACTCACAGATGTCATAAACCTCTCCCTGTCCATTGGCACGTTCCCACCACCTAAAAACAGCCGTCATAATTCCTATCTTCAAAAAACCTTCCCTGGACCCATCCCTGCTCTCAAATTACCGCCACATTTCCAACCTCCCTTTCCTTTCCAAGATCCTGGAACAAGTCATTTCTTCTCAGCTTTGCTCCTTCTTCTCCCACCATTCCCTCTACGAACCTCTAAAATCAGGTTTACGTGCTGCCCACAGCACATAACCAGCCCTAGTCAAGGTGACAAATAACATTTTGTCCACCTGTGACCAGGGCTCCCTCTGTCTCCTCGTCCCCCTTGACCTCTCTGCTGCCTTTGCATCATTGTCCACTCTATCCTCCTCCACCGCCTCTCCCCTCACCTCAACCTTCATGGTTCTGTCCCTGACTGGTTCAGATCCTACCTTTCACACCATCTCCATTTTGCCTCCACAAACGGCTTCTCCTCCAGCCCCCGCACTGTCTTGTGCGGCATTCCTCAGGGCTCTGTCCTTGGTCCCCTCTTCTTCAACATGTACATGCTTCCTCTTGATGACATCATCCACAAATATGAGGTCAACTTCCACATGTATGCTGATGACATCCAACACTACCTCTCTGCCTCCACCTTTTCCTCCAGGACCACTGCTCTCCTGACAGAATCTCTGTCAGACATCAAGTCCTGGATGAGAGCTAACTTTGTCCAGTTGAACGTCAACAAGACCGAGGCCCTCCTGATTGGCTCCCATCAGCGCCTCCACACCTCAGGGCACCATTCAAGGATGCACGCTTCACTTCACTGAGCCAGTGCGGAATCTTGGCATCTTGTTTGACCCTCAACTGTTCTTTCTACCCCACATCAGTGCCATGACCCGCTCTGCCTTCCCCCACCTCTGCAACATTGCTCGGCTTCTTCAGGGCCTCTTCCCTCAAACCACCGAAACCCTCATCCATGCATTTAGCACAGCTAGGCTGCCTTAGCCAAATCCTTGCTTGTTGACCATCCCAAC